TCACAGATATCTCAGAGTTTCATTACTATATTATCAGCAATCTGAATTGAACTGTGAGAGTCTGATATGAACTGTGTGATCTCTAGAAGATTCAACACTTTCATGTGATATCTGTGTGTAAGAAAGAACAGGCTTATATCTGTTAAAACAGCATCTCAACTGTTGATAGTAATCTCTGTATGTAGAAGAAGATCATGCCAATTGTCTTATAAGTAATTACAGAACTTATAAAGATAATTCTTCACAGTCTGAATTTTTCATTCTGATGTATCATCAGTCTCAGAGTGATAGGCAGTTAATAGATGATATATAATCTTGAGAACTTGACAGATTCTTATTCAGAGAGTGCTTATGAATTGACAGCTCTGATTCAATACTATAGATCTCAGTAATCTGTGTATCTGATAGAATAGACTCTGTAGAAAAGCTTCAGTGACTTATTCAGTATTTATCTTATTATAAGATTTCAATATTATATCTTTGTTTAGTTAATTCATGATGATCAGAATGTTTCTACAACTCTTACTCTTAGATAGATTAATAGTGAAGTTAATTACTACATCTTATCAGATTCTATTGAGAATATTAAGTGATTTCAATAGACCTTTTCTACAGTTCTTTCATAAGATAATAGAAGAACAGTGATTGCAGTTTTAGATAAAGTGTCTGATACTGTTTAATATCTCAGATCAGTAGAACTCTCAGAAGATCATTCTATACAGTTATTCACAGTCTAAATAATCAGTTATATATGAATCATGTATCTCTTGTATTATCTGAGTGTATAAGAGTTCAGAGTAAGAGACTCAGTGTTATTCACAGAATTGTAGAGTGTTATTATCATTGATTGAACATTCTAAGATATCAGTTCTTATATGTAGTTCTGAGGAAAATCAGAGTGCTTCTTGATATACTGCTTTAATAAGAATCTGAAGAAGTTCATCTGTCTGAGCTGCTGTATGTCACAGTTTATTCAGTGTAGAGAAAGTGAAGATATCAATGATAGTTCTAACTGAAGAAGTATGTATAGTATCATGAACTGTTTCATCTTGATTAACTAGTATCTTCAGATTCAAGAGCTGATGCTCTCAGTTCATTCAGTAAGTATCTGTTATATCAGATAATATATCTTACTCTCATTGTGAGAGAGTATCTATTATCAAGTTCTGACTATCAGAACAGTAGTGTATTGTAAAATGAAAGCAGCTTAAGAACTCAGATCATCATATCTATCATTCAGTGAGTTTACAGATAGTTGTGAAGTATTTGAGATTCTTATGATCTATGACTATCTCAAATTCAGAGATACTTTGAAGTTCAGAGTCTCATTCTTTTAAATAGTATACAATTGTGAGAAGTTCCTTGTCATAGATCTCATAATTGTATTCAGTGAAACTCAGTTTCTTAGATATGAAGATATATGATTATAGAATATCTTTATTATTATATTACAGTATTGCTTCTTCTATTATATAGTCAGAGAAATCAGCTTCAATAACTGTCTTATAATCAGAATTAAATATTATCAGTAAAGAAGTATTAATGAATATCTTCTTTATCTGTATAAATGCAGCTTCAGCATTCACTGATCATTGAAATACTGAGTCTTTCTTAGTGAGATCTGTAAGTGATCTCACAATATCTGAGAAGTTTTATATAAATTACTGATAGAAGTTAGTAAATCTGATAAAGCTTTGTATATCTTTCACAGTATACAGAGCTTCTCATTCAAGAATAGCAGAGACTTTCTCAGAATTCATTCAAATTCTCTTATCAGCTTCTATAATAAAACTCAGATACTTAATACTCTTGACTTCAAAATCACACTTATTAATATCTATTGATAGTTCTGCTTCTTATAGCTGTTGTAATATCTTTCATACATACTCTTAATATTCTTTTCTGAATTCATTGATGAAGATGAGAATATTATCTAGATAAGCAGATACAAACTTATCAAGAAAATCTCAGAGTACTCAGTTGATATACTTCTGAAATGTACTGAGAGTGTTAGCTAGTTCAAAGAGTGTAACTATTCATTCAAAGAGGTTATAATATGGTTGAAATGCTGTAAGTCATTCATCTTCTTCAGTGATACAAATCTTATGAAACATGGTAATGATATCTAGTTTTATAAATCATTGAGCTTGCTCAATCTGTGCTAGAGTTTCATTGATGAGAGATAAGAGATATCAATCTTTCTTTATTAATCTGTTCAGATCTTAGTAGTTCACACAGAATCAGAGTTCTTCACTGAATTTCTTTGCAAAGAGAATAGAGGCTGTGATAGAAGAGTTACTAATATATATGAATTCTTTATTCAACAGATCATTGAGTGTCTTTCAAAGAAGAAGAAGTTCATCTCAGAACATATTATAAAGAGAGTCTTATAATAATTCAGAATTCTTATCATTCTTTTTCTCTAATTTGATACTGTGATTCACTTCAGAATCTTATAAGAAGAGTATATTTATAATATTATCTTATCAGAAGATATCTAGATATTCATGATATTATTGAGAGAGTTTCATATAAGAATCTGTTATTGTAACATGAGATAATTTTTCTAGAGTCTTTTTAATATCAGTCAGACTGATGAAATAGATTGATATATAATTCTGCTATCAGTGATTCTTTCAGCAACTTCTTTTTCTAAGTATTTTATAGATATTGATAGAGATCTGTGTCAGATCAATAGTCTTGTGAATATCATCTTTATGAATTCTATCATTATTAGAGAATATCAAGCTTCTGTTTTAAGCATTTAATAAGATGTCTTATTCAGATAGTCAGACAAGTTCTAATATAAGATTATAATCAAGATTATCAACTTTATATGTATAGACATCTTCACATTAATGTTCTCTTACATCTATGATCAGCTTCATCATGTAATGAGTATAAATGTCTTTTGAATCATCAAATTCTGTGAGAAGTCAAGGTTTTGATAAAGAAATACACTGAAGGTTATGATATCTTACAACTGAAGATTTTATTATTATATAGTGATATAGATTACTGTCTATCATAGCTTTTATATTATACATGTTATCAATCTCAGTAAATACAAGAATTACATTTATTATTATCTTCTCTTTAAATCATTGTTATCTGATCTCTTTAAGCTTCTGTTTATGAATTTGAATAGAAGCTAATCTTTTCTCTGTTTCATCAGAGCATTCTCATAGTTATCTTCTGAATCTTTCTCTAATGTAATGTGATTGATGTGGACAGATGCTGATTCATTCTTTAAACAAGAAGACACTGATCTTTCTCTCAAGTATGAAGACATATAGGTTGATCAGCAGTTGAAAGCAATGTATTCTGATTAATTACAGTTAATGCATACTTCATATTGACATTGATCAGTGACTTCTTCAGAAGTGATCTCAGAGACTTAAAAGCCTGTCTGAATAATGAAGATTCTTGCTTATATGTAAATATTCAAGTCTACTCAATTCATAATATCTGTATCATTGTTATTTCTCAGCATGAGTGTATAAGTTGCTGAGATGTAACATCTTCTATCACTGTTGTGTATATTCTTGAGCTTAGTAAGATGATCATTTATTGTTCAGAGCTGTGTGCAGAAGCCTTTATAAGTCTGGTCTTTATCTATACTTATAAGAGCTTGTAAGAGTTTGAAAGTTAATATCTTCTTGAGCATGTTAATCTTCATTCAATTCTCTTAAGATTGATCATCTGCTTCTAGAATCTTGATATTGAAGTCAGGAATGAATATTATAAGAGAAATGTTTCTCTGTTAAGTACTCTGTAGTCAATCTAATGCTTTCTGTTATATAACAGTGTCTCAGAACAGAACATCAAGATATTTCATAATATTATCAGATGTTTGTAACACTGATTCACATGCTTTTATTCATGAATAAAACTTCTGTTTCACATAATCTTTTAATCATTCATTGATATACTAATCTTGATTGATTAATAAACTAATGATATCTTCATCTACACTTAGTTTTATAAGTATTTCCATTCTTCATAATGAGTAGAGAGTGAGATTAAAAGTATTGAAATATATAAGAGTGTAACATGACGGAACCGAAGCGGTGGCTAGTCGGCAGTGTCATGTAGAAGTAGTTGTTTGAGAAGCTGTATAAGTGAGCTTAACTATCTTGCTTAAATAGTGAGCTTATAGGCTACAGAGTTATTGTGAGAATATCACAGATGTGATACTTAGTATACTAAGAAGATTGTATAAGATATACAGTAACTCTTATATATATTTCAGTAGAAGAAAAATAAATCACTGCTTCTTTAATAAGAAGTCAGTATCTAGCTATTCTATATAGACAATAAGTGAATACTCTTCTCTCATTTCATGAGTAAGAATAGCTGAAGTGATATCTCAGCAGTGTCTTATTATTAAGAAAGAGTAATCTGCTGATCTTATATAAAAGTAGAGTTCTTATATTTATCAATCAGATCTTTCTATAATATATCTGAATAATATTATAGAGTGATTGAAAACTGGTTCAGATAAGATGAAATCATCTGTATAAAAGCAATGAGCTGTGTGAAACTGTAGCAGAGTTTTAACACTGCTGAGAGTATAATAATACTCTTCTCTTTAAGAACATAGTTCTGATGCTCTCAAGATTATCAGATTAGAAATTATCTTTGTTATATAGTAATAGTTATCAACTGATTAACAGTATATATACTGTATATAATATAAAGAAATAGATGAGTTTTTCTGCTAACTATATAGATCTTTCTTTTTTCATCTTTATTCAAATTAAACATGTGATAAGTGAGTTTCTTATATATCAATTTAAAATGTGAAAAATATAGTTAACAAGTGACTTACAGATCTCTTAATATATTTCATTCTATATATAAAATTCTCTGCAAAAGTGATATATTTTTAGAAATAAAGCTAACAGTAGTGACAGGATTTTTTGAAAAAAATTCTTCTTCTTCTATAAAATATTTTTCTTCTCCTCTCTCTCAATTGTAACAGTGAGTGTATGAGAGTATCATTCTTGAAGAATAATAAAGAGCTTATTCTGACATTTTCTAGTGAGTAATAAACATCTTTGTGATGCAGCTGCGGTCTCTGTGATCATCAAGAAAGCCAGATTGAAGGCAGAGGCAGCGGTGTCAATGAACCATGAAAGCACTGCTCTCATTGTCACATCTTCTCCTACTTCTCTTGCAGCCATGATGGTAGTTGCTGTGCCTTGCAGTGAGGTGTTATTCCTTCTGCTGGCTGGTGCATCTGCGCTCAGTCTGTCTTCTGCTTCTCTCACCGCCATTGCAACACCGCCCCCCCCCCCAGTCAATACAGTGGCATATGACCCTGTGTGGTCATTTGGAGAGAAACCTGGAAAGAGCTTGATTTCAGAAACAGTAACTTTAAGAAGCTCAATTCATAGTTTCTCTTCTGTGACATGCCTGAGCCCTGCTCAGAATACTGCTGAGTTGAGTCTGCAGAATTCTGTGATTTCTTTATCTTCTCTCTGTAAGAAGGCTCTGATGCAGCCTCTGATCAGCACTGCTACTTGTCTGTGCTATATCAAGCAGCTGAAGAAGAGAGAGATTTTATACACTTACTTCTTCTCTTACTTCTGTTATTTCTATTATATCTGTAACAATAACTTCTATCTCTCTATAAGTATTATTTCACAGAAAGATGTCATATCAGCTCTGATAAGAAGTCTAAATACTTAAGCAGTACAGAGTAAGAGTCTCAGAGCTTCAAGTATTGATAGATTCTGTTAAGACTGAAGAGATCTCTCTTACTCATCTATAAAAGAAGATAAAAGTATGAATCTCTAAGATGAAAAAACATCTCAGAATAACTAGTCTTAAGAAGAGATCAGCTGATGCTGCTGTTGAAAGTGTCACAGAGATCAATCACTGATTGAAGAGAATCTCACTTCAATTGAAGCAGATAACTGAGATACTTTATAAGTTAATAAGTTGATATTTTTATACATTTCTCATACTCTTCTATGATACTGCAGTGCTAACTTCTCAGTAGATAAAGATATCAGTACTGAAGACTTCAACAGTGAAGAATAAGTTTAATAAGAATATAATTATTAATAAGTAGACTCTGATCTCTCTTTTTACTTTTTCAGCAGACTGTAACTCTATTAAAATAGCAGTAGTTCACAGATCAATAATATTAATCTTTTTATTAATTTTTAATATCTTTTTTCTCTAATCACTTCAGGAATTTTACACTTGTATAGTTTTATTAAACTTCTAAAAAATTCTTTAAGAGAAAATAGAAGAAGAGTGCTATAGAGCCTATAAAATATTAGCTTATTACTGTGAAATTATCTCTAAAAAATTCTTTGAGAAAAATAAGAAGTCTTAAGCAGTATTTCTTACTCAATATCTCTGATATATAACAGAACAGTCTTTACTAGTCATCTCATAGCTTACAATCTCTTTCTCAGTATTTTTCAAATGCTTAAGTGATTTTCATAAATTCTCTGACAATGAATAATCTTCTCATTTAATGAGATATTGAAGCTTACTGTAATATATTCATTTATTCAATATTTTCTTTATAAGATATTCAGTATCACTCTTAATCTTGATATTATTCAGTCAAGACAGCTCTGCTCTGAGACATTACTTATAGAGCTTTAAATAGAAAATGTGAAAAATAGAATGAATTAATTTCAATTCTATAAGTAATTTTAACTTATATATCTGCTTACTCATCACTCTTATTACTAAGAAAGATTCTAGTTATCATTCACTGAGCTTCTTATATAATCTCATTATCTTAATATTCTTTGCTGAAAGTAGTACTTAATCCTCTATTAAGAACTTCATTAAAAGATATTTTTAATTATAGTATTTTATCTATCACTTCTGAGCACAGTAAATGCTTTTCACTATCTTCTTATAAATTTTATTTAAAAGTTTTAATCTTACTTTTACTTCTGATACTGAGAGATACTCTATTCTCTGTATCTGTTCAACATTCTGACTGTCTATTTCTCTCTTTAAAATATTGTTCACAATGTCACTGAGTAATGAAGAATTATATTCATAATAAGTATAGAAAGAAGATATCTTTAAGATTACATTCTTTGCATTATTATATATAAATTCAGTAATTAGAAGATGTTTGAGCTAATCATTTTAATAATATAAATAGAATACTTAAAGATGCTGTTTTAGTATCTGATTCTGATATTCAGTCTGATCATCTGTCTATGAATGAAATGCAGTACTGAGAAGACATCTTATTATAAGATGATAGTAAAAAGTCAATCAGTATTTACTGATAAAGAGAGATTCTTAATCTGTTATCAATGATTTCAGAGTACTGTGATTATAAATGATAATATCTAAAAATAAATCAGTCAATTCAGAGGCTTTAATCTTTTTATAAGTAGAAATATATCTAGTTATCTTTGTGAAGTAGTTAATAATGACTAAAATTGAGTTATATTCTTTAACTCTTATTAACTTCAGTAGATCAACTATGAAATTCATTGATAGATTCTGTCATAAGCTCTTTGAAACAGATAGTGATGCTAACTCACTGTATTACTTATACTGTGAGATCTTTATCTTTTAACAGATATTGTAAGTCTTAATATACTCTTTAACATCTGTTCAGAGCTTGTTTTAAATATATTTATATTTTAAAAGCTTCTCAGTCTTCTCTAATCTGAAGTACTCTGTATGGAAATTATTATGATAAATTCTCAATAACTTCTAACACATCACTCTGCTATAAGAGATGAAGACTGAACTATTCAGTAGTAGAAGTTTATATTCTCCTAGTTATCAGTAACTTAGTTTCTTAGCAGTATCACTCTACTCAGAGTCTGTCTCTTTCAAGTTTAAATCAGATTCTTTCTTCTTCAACTTCTGAATTTAAGCTGTAGTAGAGATATTCTTCTTCTGTAACTTATCAATGAATTTCAAAAGTAGTCAGATTGAAAGATTGTAGACTGTTTCATTCTTTATTAATTTAATGATTGTAAAATATAATATGAGAAGCTCATAATCTTCAGTATCAGTTCTCTATGAGAATTCAGGTTTTCTTTCACCTTCTATACTGAGTCACACAGCTGCCTTATCAGCGCTGTTCTCAAGCTTCAGAGAACTTCAACTCTCTGCAGCCAGCTTCTTCTGCAGTGATGACAGAGATTCTTTTATAGAATTCTTCTTCACATCAATGATATTATAATCAGGCTGTTTAAACAGTATATTGATGAGATTAAGCTGATCTGAACAGTATCAGATATAGAAATTATACTCTGAAAGCAGCTCTGCTCACCTGGCTTGACATTCTATCAAGCTCTTTATTATTAAGAAGTAACACAGATTTACATGATCAGTGAGAACTTACACTGAGTACTTACTACTCTGAAGATAATATTATCAGATCTTAAAGAATTTGACAATTACTAACATCTTCTGATTATGAGTATTATATCTTCTCTATATAAGTGATAACTTCTTGAAGAAGAAGGTCACTGATCTTCATTCACAGCATCTTATAGACTTTATAAAAAAGCTTTCTTTCACAGACAATTCATTATCTATTTTCTCAGAGATAATTATTCTCTGATTCTTTCAATATTGAAAGGTCTTCAGTGTCAACTGTGAAAAGATTCTACAGATTTCATTCCTGAATATATCAGTCTCACACTGACTGAATAAGTCAGGATTAAAGTGATTCAGTATCATAGCATCTGTGAAAGCTTGTTTCAATTTCATAAATGCCTGCACAGTGCCTTGAATGAGAATAAATAGTTCTGTTTTTCTGTTTTTCTGTCTTTCATACTTCTCTTTAACAGATCTGTAAGAGAGGCAGTAATTTATAAATATGCATAGATGAATCATCTGTAGAAATTCACAAATTCTAGAAATATCTGCATCTTGCAGTATATTCACAGCACTGATCAGTTCTTAATAACAGAGACTCAGCTTCTGTTCATTGAAATGCTATTCATCTCAATAATATAACCTAAGAAATCAATCTCCTACATGTAGAATGAGCATTTTTCAGTGTTTGTATAGAGTTAATACTGTCTCAAGTGACTTAACACTTCTCAAACATGAGTATCATGTTCTTTCTCTGTTTTTTAGAAGATTAAAATGTCATTCAAGTATACTATGCAGAAGACATTGACAAGGCTCTGCAGTGCCTCATTTATATAGGTCTGAAAGATGACTGAAGCATTACAAAGATTAAAAGATAAAACAAGATATTCAAAATTACTGTACTTGATATGAAAAGCTGTTTTTCAAATATCATCTTCATTAACTCTGATTCTATGATAGACATTCTGTATATCAATCTTTGAGAACATCTTTGCTTCAGATAATTGATTAATTATCTTATCAATTAACAGTAATGAATAGCAATTCTTAATCATCATCTTATTAAAACCTCTGTAGTCTACACATAGATATAGTCTATCATTCTTCTTGAGTATAAAGAGTATAGATGTCTCTGTCAGACTCTTTAATAAATATATTCAGTTCTTTAATTGCACTTCTTCAAGATATTTGCACAGAACATTCAATTTCTTTACAGAGAAGTTGTAAAGAGGTCTGTATAGCATCATTGCATCATCTTTAAGATGAATCTTATATTATATCTTGATGTCAGAAAACTTCACTGCTTCTCTTTCTGAAAAGACATTCTTAAAATCTGTAAAGAGACATTATGTATATTCACCTTTAATAACAGATACTGCTGCTAATCTTGCAGTAAGAATAATGATTTCTTCATCTGTTCTTAAGTCTCAGTCATCTGCTATATAGTATATTGACTCAATCTTTTTCTCAAGATTCTTCTGATGAAACTCTTCAGGTTTCTCTATCACTATCTCTTCATCAGTGAGGTGATACTGTCATATCTGAGTGACTCAGTTAATGAGAGAATTATTTTCTCTCAATTATAGAAGATCTAGAATGACATTCTCATCTATAATATTAACTGTATGAAGAAGCAGACTGCTTTTCTTGAAGATTTCTTCTGAGTCTGTGATCACACACTGTGCTTGAATTATGCTAAAATGATGATATTTTGTTTCATTAGTAAATTTCACATGGTCTGACAGGTCTATCTTCTTTCAATTCTTTATCAAAGAAAAGAAATAGAATATGAAGTTAATATTTACTCTGAAGTTGAGTAGGCATCTCACTAATATCTTCTTATTCAGAGTATACATTGTGATTATAACATGAACTCAGAGATGTGAGAATTATTAATTCTTCATTTCTTTCTCTTCTTTATCTTTCATAGATATGTTTGTCAGAAGAGAAG